TCATACAATTGAGCAATCATTAAGTTTATAATTGTGTATTAGACATGTAAATGTCACTGTACATGTACTCATAGCTCTTGTGTTTTTCTAGGAAGTGTACTATGTACTGTCTACATTGTCAATTGTGCTACTATCAAAACTTTATTTTGTTCTGGTGAGACCGGCAGTCTAGCACCAGTTTAGAGGAGGGTCCTATTTGTACAGCAGTACTAAGCATAGGGTGTGAAAGGGCTACTATCAAAACTTTATTTTGTTCTGGTGAGACCGGCAGTCTAGCACCAGTTTAGAGGAGGGTCCTATTTGTACAGCAGTACTAAGCATAGGGTGTGAAAGGGCTATGCCTGTTTATGCAAGCTCGAATTTGATATGCATGTGCTAGTTTACACAAAATTGTCTTTTTGTAGATTCGTTAATAAGATAAGGACAGACTTATCAGTTTAAGGGTTTAGGGTTGTATTGAGTAGATCTGTATCTACTACTTTGTTGCCTTAAACTATGATTACTGGATCATACTGTGCAGCTTAAAATTGTTATTTTTGTTTGCGCTTTACTGTTGAAGAAAATGAAAATTAAATTAAATTGTTGTAAAAGTATTCCCTAACCCAGTGTTATGATTTACAAAATACATATAGCAAAATTTAAATTAATTTTTTGGGGAGAGTTTTAAAACTTTGCAAAATTACAGTAATTTTCATTCCAAAAAATTCTATATCATTTCTTGAGTTTACAAACTCTATAACTGTCAAGTTATTGCTATAAAAATCAGCTACTGTATACTTAGATGTATATGTACATTGTAATAAAGAAACAGTTAATAAGCATATGAAACAATATTATACATGTGTATACATTAATTGTCCATGAAAAGTATTATGAATTTCATAATTTTTATTTTATATCAGCAGCTGCTTTTTTAATAATTATTAAATAATTATTGGCTATGAGCTACATTTACTATTCAATTTAAATATTCAGCATTGATTTTATTTGTGGTCATGTGAAAACAGTCAATGGGTGTGGTTCACATTTAGCTTGAGCTAATGGAATTTTTTAGGTGTAGCGCATTGTCTATAATATGTGTACATGTACATGAATGTGTGGGAGACCTCTAAAATAATTTTATAGTGCTTATGTATAATTGTTCACATATGACAGTCACAATGCACTCCCTTGTTCTTCTTCCTAGACACGCCAGTCACCACTCTGTTGTTACTAACTTAATACAATGTATGTCTTTAATTGCTATATTATGTAACTTATAGCCAGAAATATTTGCGGGAGTTATATTTGGCAATTTGTTAAATCTTTGCATTTGGCAAATAAGTATTTCTAAAAGATGTGTACATTAGAAATTACATTTATTAATGGCTAAACTTTAATAATGAGTGGTTATGCATGTACATATAGGTACTGTGTAAGTAGTCTTTTATGTCTGTTTTTATAAATATTTCCATTAGAAATAGCTGGCTGTCTCTATTTGAATAGGCTACTGAAATGTAAGTGACTGTCATTAAATTTGTTTTGTTTTAGTTGCTTAGAACATTGTTTAGTACTCTGAGCATTGGCTTTTTATCCTTTTAGTGTTGTAATAATTCAATTTCTTGTTTGGTCTTATGTATCTATGTATGTGCATGCGTGATTGGCTGTATTATGTGTAGTAGTAACTGGCAACAGTGTTCTTGAATGATAAATTATTTTTGAATTGTGTAGCAGCTTTTACTTTAAGATGTAGATGTAGATATATGTTTATATAATTCATCATAATTACCAAAACTTCCCTTGTAGTTGTTGATGAGACTTTATGGGCTACATTGTACATACACATGTATGTTACCCCAAAGATGCCTTGCATTCTCTATACTACATGCATGTAATTTTACAGCATTGACATTGTATCACTAGCAATATGTACACAATGTACATAAATATAATTTGAGGACTACAGCTGGCTATAATGAGCAAGCTTCTATGGTATGCACATTTGTATATTCAAGTGCAATTGTTTAAAAGAAAAGTGACAAAAGAAATGGGAGGGAGAGAGAATTTCATATTAGGTTATACATGTATATCTTATTACATGTACTTGTTCCCAAAGCTCATGTGCACTATTTGATAAACTGATATTTTGTACAAACTGGTACACCCTTTTTACATACCGATAAGAGGAAACTCCTCTAAACTGGTCCTAGCCTCACCAGAGCAAATAACTTTTGATAGCATGTATAGTATAAAGTTTGGGAGGGTACATTGTATAACAATTATAGTCTGTTAGTTTTTACAGATGTCTTTTATGACTTGTGGCAGTATTGAATGATCAGGTTGTGCTATTAATTTATACATGTACATGTAAGACAGCAAGTGATATGATCTACTACATACATGTACATGTACTTGTACATTATGAAGTTATTTCTATACAATTGCTTCCTAAGTTTTGTTTTGGGATTTACTTGTATCTCTTATCAGTCCTTGATGTAATTCTATGCTCGTCAGATGCAGTTTTGACTGTATGGTATTACATGTAATCACTGCAAGGTGTGCATACATTACATAGTATGTTATAACCAACTTTTGAGGGTGTTATGTCCTTGCCCATTGACCTTTTCTAATTTTCTCATGGGTACGTGTTACACCCATAACACTCAATCTATTTTGATCAGTAGGTGAGTCTTGGTTATCAGTTTACATGTATGTCTATAATATACATGTATATGTACTTCAAACAAATGATATCCATCTAGTTGTTATAGATAGGTTTTCCTTGTCTATTAGTAGGTGGGTAGATTCTTTTGTTAGGGAGTGTATCAGTTACTATGTGTATCAGAAGCTCCTTATGTATATTGTGCACATATGTATGTATCATGTACATGTAAGTGCAACTGTAGTATATCACTTATGTTTTTACTAATGACATGACTTGTAGCATTCTATTCTCAGCTAGGCTATCAATATAATTGTATCGCACATAGGCTGTAATATGTAAGCATATATTATGCATGTAAAATTCCCCTTTCATTCAATAATTGGCTTGTTGCTTTCATTCAGTTTATAATAAGGTTTCTGTTTTTATCAGCTGTTTTGCTTTTTTGTTTATAAAAAGTCTAGTGATGTGTGGCATAATATTATACTGCAAGCTTTTCAATTATGCATGTTTTTGCCTCCATAAACATGTTCACTTATAATATGCTATGTTGTTTGAAATGTATAGTATAATTAGCATTGCTCATACATCTAGTTCTTGGTTTGTAACACATATATAGATTAAAATTAGGTAAATGTATGTCGTAATTGTTGCGAGCAATATAAATTGAGTAAGTAGGTAGTATAACTTAAAGAGGCTTTCTGATTGAGCATGTGCAAATTATACATATTAAATTGAATAATAGAGATTGATAGCAATTGTGCCATATTCCATATTCAGAATTACTGAACATATTTATCACGCATTATACAGTGTCCATCAAAGTTATTCATTTTACACATTTACATGTAGGTCATTTAAAGACAATAGTCAAACTCTGAATGCTATTTGTGAAGCTGATCTAGGTGAACTTATACTCGATGATAAATAATATATGCATGTATGTACATAGAGCATTGTTTTATGATTGAAATGCATAGCGATGTCACATATGGTGTAACACAATGTATGTTGAAAGTCTAACAATTAGAGTTTTGTTGATTTAGGCAATATGTTTAACTGTTAATTTGATAGACTGTCTGTTGCCTCTTCATTGTTATTAAATTTTGTAAGATTTTACAATAAACATATACAGCAAAAAGTTAATTTTAGTATTACATGTACATATAGTTCAAGACAAGTCATCCACTAAATTCCTACAAAAATAGATTTTATTCATCATAATTTTGAAATGATGTCATTGAACTAACTTTGTGTAAATCATCAAATGCTCTACTTGCATGCAGTTTGACATTTTCTCCAGCTTTTTTGAAATATTTGCTTGCTGCTTGAAAAAATTCAGTATGACCTTTCTCTCTACCACTTTGGTATCCGTATTCTCCAGCAAGTGCACTATAGTAATTGATTAATTCTTTATGCATAATGATAAGTATATACATGTATACCTGTCCAGAGGGGTATCAATGTCAGGACACATCAACAGTCCATAAATGTAGCTCAGTATTTCTCTCATACTGGTGGAGGGTGTGTATGATTCTCCAAGTATTGCATGACATATCCTCCCACTGCTGCCACTAACGTTGCAATGATATATCTAACAGTAGTAGAATAAACTATGTGTGTGCAGTACCAATAGCCATACTGGTGTAAGAAAGCGTATTTCAGGTTGAGTGAAGGGATATTTTTTTGGAAATTGAACGCTCAAAGCAAATACTCCTAAAACATAGTGTAATCTTGTACCATATAGCGGGTAATTTTGGAGGGAATTAACTGTATTTGGCAAATTTGGCATTTTAATAGCCATTCGCAAAAATAAAACCCTGCCGTTTTGAGCTATTATACGCATGCTCAATGACACGTGGCCACAAATTCTCCAAAATTAAAATCCACCAATTACCAATTTGCCAAAATTTATCCCCTCGAAATTTACCCGCTATACAGTATTATTGTAATAGAATTAACCTCCTGAATAAGCACTTTCTTTAGGAGCAGTCATCAACACTTTCCATTTCTCATAGCTATGATTAAATTTATTAGTTACTGTAATGTATTGTACTTTGATTATGGCTTTACCTTATTTGACTTGGATAAACTGTTATACTGTGATGAGGATTATGCATGAACTCTCTAAGTTCTCTTAATATTCTTCTATGCTTTGAATTGCTTGGTGTTTCTTTTAACTGATCTAAGTGACTTTGCACAAATTAAAATTATTTTTATCAAATGAATTACCTTTTCATTGATTGTGTTTTCACATTGTGAAATGCTTCAATGTAAGTTGATTTAAAGCTAGTCTCTGTCTCATATGGATAGCGAGTGACATCTTTTAGCACACTTAAATTAGTCTGTGTATTATAAAAGGATTGCATATGCATGTTATTTGTTCATTACCGGGTATTGTCTAGAAACCCTTTCACTTAGCGACAGCATTGCATCTAATTCAAAATATCTCAGTGATTCCTGCATTGTTTGAGGGAGAACACAAACACCTCCTATAATAGTTCAAAATAATATTTTAAAAAGCTCCTAACAGCAATTGGAACCTGTTGCATGAGAGAATGCCTTTTGCTCTGGGTTGCTATCAGGATAAGACAGCAAAACTGTATCAACAATGATACCTGCATCCTGTCATTATAAATAGGCATAGAACAATTGCTATTAATATCAAATACCTTTGTACATTGCAGTGCATATTCATATGTCACTATTGAACTGTTAAAACCATCTGTGAGACACAATATTCTCCTTATAAATAAATTTCAATTTTTTTGAATAGATGATTTTGCCCTATACCTTCTTTTGCAGTTGAATTTTTTCAGCTGGTCGACAGCATTAACAACAGCAGCTGTCAATTCTGTTAGGCCTTCTATTTGAACTTCTTTGACAATAGCCTGATAATAATGGTATTCATAAAATGATATATATTCTTGTGCTTTACTTCAAATTTTTCAGTATTTTTACTGAGTTCTAATTTAACAGTGACTCTTGATCCAAATATAGTTAACCCCAGAGCATGATGAAGCTTATAAGCTTGAGTACGTGTTGCAAAACTGTTGAACAATTGTTTAGCAGCATCAAGTCTTATCATGTCTCCCATTCTAAAGTAGACCTATTTCTTATGTGCTTAGCAATGGTGAACTTACTCTGGAAAAACTCTACTTCCCATTGAACCACTTTGGTCAAACAAAACCTTCAGTAGCATGACAAAGAGCCATGAATTATGTTATACTTATTACATACCACTATTGCTTCTTCTGTTTCCCATTGTATGCTTTCTTGAGGTGCAATGACAGCATATTTTCTATTTTTTTCCTTTCTTAGTAGTACAATTACATATATAATAGTTACCTCATTTTGTCATAATCTTGAATTTCCTCATTTTTATCATTAATTACTTTTTTAATATCAGAAGTAACTTGCATTTCAATTAGGGTGTCACTAAGAGATCATAGGTATAATACAATAAATATTAATTTGTTAATGTAGTTGCTAACTTTCCAATTTCTTGAAGTTCTGTTATCTGTATCACTTGTTCATAGTTATTTTTCACATCTGCACATGCATTATAGAATCTTCTCTTTTCATCTGTACTTTTTGTTGAACCAAGAAAGTAGATTAGGTGTGCTACAAGGTTTGGCAACAATAATTGTCAACTTTATTAGTAAACTTAACCTTTACTATTGTAAGTTAAACATTCATCTCCACTGTATAATCCTTGAGGATTTAGTATATGTAACTCTGTTAATGACTTCAGCATATCATGCCACTTAAAAGATACATCAACTTTTTTGCAAACTCTTTAGTTTGCATGTTATAAAATTAATGAAGATTATATTATTATTGTAACTGACTTTGGTATCTCATTCTTTGGTGGATTTGTCCACACACAAACTTTTTTATCTGTTTCCCAAGGAAAATACATGAGAAGTTTAGCAGTTTCAACGTCTTTTTTTAGCTGATCTTTTGTAAGTTTACCAAAAATTTCTAAGTCATCATTATCACCTGCAATCATAGGATTTCATGGTAATAAAAAGTAGAATATCATACCTTCTGTTTTCATTGGCTGATTTTCTTCCTGGCTAGCTATACTTTCAATTTTAGCAAGGATGTTTTCTTTATCAAAGGGACCTTGTGTCATATCCACATCTACACGTACTGGTTGATGTATTCTTGTTCCTGATAATGGGCACACTAGTGAGCAGTAGTGTGTTCCAACATTTACTGTGCATGCCTCGTCAATATTCTTAAATGTAAAATTAGTATATAATTATTATAAGCTATTTTAGCTTACATGTGACTGATTCATCAACATAGAGAAGATATAATCTGAATATTCGAAGATGCGTTCTTTGCTCACTGTTATGTAAATTGATAAATTAAGACTATTATATCCTAGCTACCTTTAGCAAAAGTGTCAAGAATTGTTTTGAATAGCAAATAGAAACCTTCAATTAAGGCTGTCTGTAAGAACAACAGGCCTATATCATATATATAATATAATAAACTGTACCCAGCCAGATATTGTGAGGTATGAAAATTCTTTCAGATTTTGTAGTGCATAGACCAGAGGAGGGAAGTCAGTGAATATCATTAAGTAAGACAAGAATTTTTCAAAGTCGTAGTCTTTGTTATAGGGCTTTGGTGAACACTGTATGTACATAACAAAATAATAGTTATTGTATATATATATTATAAATTGACATACAATAAACTTAAGTATCGAAAAAAATTTTGTGATTCCTGACTTTGTTTGTGGGACCAGAAAATTGTAACTTTTACTTCCATAACTAGAGGAACGAGGCTGAACTATTTCTAACGGATTTCTCAATACAACTCTAATGTGATCCCTATCTTTCAGTTCTGTAAATGCTGTCAATCGCTCATGAATGTATCCTCGCCTGAATAATAATTGTCATACAACCCTTTCTTTTTAGTATAATACTATACCTCACATAAAGGGACATAAATGGAACTTGTAAGCCAGTCACACTGCTAACTTTTTGTGCTATGTCTTCTGGTGAATCGCAATCCATGTATGCATTTACTGAGAAAGATCCATGGAAAGGAGTTTCAATTACAAATGTTTCTTGGCCTAATATGAGTACATTATGCATGTACACAATAATATTTTTACCAATATTATGGTCTAATGCAGGTAATGAAACAAATTTCTCCATTTGTGGTTGCTCTTTTGTCCTTCTTAATACATAAAATAAGTCGCCATCATCTATTTCCCAAGACTTAAGAGTACCTGGATGCATATAATATTTGGATTCAAACTTATAATTTTCAAAGATTATATGTTAACTAGTCTAAGCATACCTTGTTCAGTGATTTCGTTATTTTGTAATGGGTGTCCATGACTTGAATAAAGCTCAATTGTTTCATCTTGAGGAATGTTGTTTTCACTGCATATCATTCTTGTAATATGATGAAGCTTTGTTGCTGGTGTTATCTTGACAAGCTCACTTGTTTCTGCTTTTGTACTAGCAAGCTTAGTTTCAGCTTTTGCGGCACTAGCAGGCTTTGTTTGCTTTGTTTCTTTTATGCTATCAAGCTTCTTTTCCTTTATATCTTTTGCAAAGAGATCATTGCAAAAGATGTATCTTATATATATTTCAGTGTCTTGATTGAAGTCTTCACTACTTTCATCAGACATCTCTTTGGGTTGATCTCCGTGGATATATCTCCACAGTCTTCTTTTATATACATCATTGACATCTAAACCTGCATTAATATACCATTAAAAGCATAGACCTATAAGTCTGTAACTGGATGTACCATCAAGATCTTGTCTTTCAAGATACTCAAAATCGGCAACTTTTTTGAAGCCCTTTTTCCAAAGATCAGGTATTATCTTATTTTCCAATTCAATCTCATCTATTCCGGAATTCTTAAGGTGCCTTTGTAGTACTTCCATAGGTTTAGCCTGGTCAACTTCCATGTTTCAACAAGACGACAACTGGTTTGTATGCTGGTAAAGGCCAGAGCATAGATACTGTATAGTATACACAGTATCTGTGATCAGAGATACTGTACGCTCTGAAAATATAGACTCGATCGAGCGCGTGCGATGATCATGCATATCCGCACATATATGAGCATTGATAATATACCGTGCTTTGCAGGTTGCTAGACCTTGCAAACTTGTTAATCACG